ATGGTGAATAGCAGGGATGCTCCAGGTCTTACCAACCGGCTGCTCTGCTTTGTCAGACTTTATCTTAATGTATTTCCTCCCTTTGGCTGTGGTCGCTCCCCTGCTCTCTGTTCACTGGCATAAGAAAGGCCATGTCATGCTTTCCTTGCCAGACGTACAAGAGCAGAAAGAGGGTGGGAGAAAAGCAAGGGAGATTTTTACCGTTTTTATATTGTGTGGTGTGTGCTGGATGTTACAATGTAGAAAAATGGATCTGCTCGTCAGTAAACAGATATGAGAAGAAATTACTTATTTCATCATTCTGGTAGGTGATAAGCCTGCAGCCATTTATCAAACGTCCACTAGAAATAAATGTCTGTTGTCATTGTCTCACTTTTAATAACATTATACCTTGCCGTAATTTTAGCTGTTTATCTCAACTGCTACCTTTTTTTTTTTCTTTCTGAAAGAGTGAGATTAGAAGAGAAAGAATAATTTAATGAAGCTTCCCCTTTTCTTTGGCAAGCCAGCAAAATGATTGTAAAGAACATCAAATTAATTATTTGGATTCATAAAAATTGAAGAAGCCCACTTGCTTAAAGTAGAACAAATACCAAGCAATCTCACTTGGATTTTCAGTGGCTTTGAATTTGAGTTTGCGTTTACAGCAACACCAGCAGCATTCTCCCAGCTTGCTAAGCCAAAGCCTGTACTACATTTTTCTATCACCCTTTGGGAGGCTCCTTGTCCCCACCTTGTGTGCCATGTAGAGGAGATGAGGGCCATACTCCCTTATCAGCAGTAAACCTTTTTCATAACTCTAGAAAGCATGAGCTGAAGTTCTTCCATCCTTCAGCAAGCATGGCTGGTAGGCAACCTACTGGAAGCTTTACTTAAGTAAACAGGATTTTTGCACAATTTGATACGACAGCGAATAATATCATCTCTCCATTATCACCTGCTCTATCCCAATAGCAAAATAACATTATTCTAGACTACTCCCACACTTTCAATACGACTGTGCCTAATTATACTGTATGGGTTATCAGCAGCAGATCTGGAGCTTTTGGTAGTCGAGTTTGGAATAATTGGAGCTTGAGGTTTCTGGGAAGACGTGGCAGAAGGATTGCAGTAGGAGGACAGCTACCTGCTACAAGTACACAGGCTTATCTGCCTGGAGGTTTATCTAGATGACCAGAAAACAGGTGGTCAGTGGTTCAGCTGCCACACCAAGATGCATAGGGTGGCTTTTTCCTGTTGAAGCTGTAAGTTTCTCTCAAGGATGCCTGTGGACTGAGGGGGTGGCTGTATCTCTTTACAGTCACGTTCATATTTTGACATTTTTCTCCATTCTTCTTTTTCTCCCAAGGAGATTCAGACACTCAGAGCCTGGCCTATAGTGAAGGAAAGGAGGCATTAAGCCAAAAATCTTATATTACAGCTTTTTAAAATACAGACCATGTTTTCTTACATTTGCATGGAAGACAGAAGAGGTTCATATCCTATATGTGATCCATCACAAAAGAATATCTCTAGACTGGGGTAAATTCATCCTATTCCTAATCTGGCAGACTTCTGAGGGAGGAAGATCACAGCACGTTGCATCAGTTTGAGTTCGGCTCCGCAGGGACACTTCTGTTACCCTCTTGTGTCTTAAAACCCTGGCTATAACCATCTTGCTCCTGCACAAGAACTTCTCCTAGCTGGGCTATTCTCCCTTCTCCCATAGATACTCTACTCCTGGTCAAGCAGTGCCACAGCTCTCTGTCTTGTAGCCTTGTATCAGATATTTTCTGGTGAGAGAGGACCTGCAGGCTGGAGTCCTCCTCCCAAACAGGGACTGGCCTCAAGCTCTGCCCTTGCCTGCCTGACTGCTCTCTCTTCTCACCTGCTGGCCTGGGATGGGCAGCCTCCCTTCCCTGCCATGGTTTCGAAAGAAAGCAGCCTCACGAATTATTGCTTGGGCATACTTGTGAGGTCTGGGTGGAGTTTTAGCACCTTCTGGCCTCGGTCTGAATTACAGATATTTTTTTACAGGAGGAGGTGCTGGGCTTCTCCAGAGTAGGAGCCTCCAACCCTGTACCGGTGCATGTATTTAAGTACCCAGTAAAGGCTGCAATACAAAGCAGAAGCACTGATTTATTTTAGGACCCCCAAGGCTAGGCAGAGCGGAGAACTAAAGCATCTGAACACTTGTTCCTGTGTGGCCGCAATTTGAGTGGAATTTGGTTACAGTGCTCACACCAGGAAGCATCTAGTTGGGCTGAATTACTGTGTGCCGTTGGAAGAAAACAGGACAAACCCAATTATCCCAGTGGGGATCCTTGCCTGGGATCCTTGCAATAACAGGGAGCTGCTGAGGTGGGTTACATCTGGATCATCCCAGCAAGAAGTCCAATGCTTTCTTTTTGCATAGGAAGTAACTTAGGTAAAAGTCGAATTCTCTGACAATCCCAGATCCGCCTACACAAACCCAACATTCACTGGGGAAATCAGCACATGAACAACATATACCAGATAAGCATTTTAAAAGGAGGGCTTTCTGCAGCACCTTTTTAAATGCACCCATCTCCTCCTACTTGCCTTCTCCAGATCTGGCTTTGGAATTATTTACATGTTGTGAACTTGTA